AAACTTGAGAACCTCTGTTTTGTCTCAGTAGGAAACTCAGTTCCTTGGCAGGACAGATGCTGCACTTACAGTGTTGAACAGGAATTCAACACTGTTTACTGTATAAATCCTTCACAAAACCTGAAAATTAAAACCTCCTTAGATTTAACATTTTAAAGTTTTAATTTGGTGTAGGAAGAAATGAACTTGAGAAAAAGTAAACACCATGAAGAAAACATAGTGTTCCAATATAACATGCAGCTAAATAAAGGAGACCTCACATTTTAAAATGTCTGACACTGACAACATCTCCACAGGGATAATGATATTTTCTTTTGCAAAGCACTGTGCTAGCTGCAAAGCTATATAAGAACTAAGTGTTATTACCAGAGATGGGAAAGGCCTATTAGATCATCTGTCCATCTCTCATATAATTGTAACAGAAAATAACAGTGATTTGCTGCTGTAATTTGACAGTGACTTTTGTAAAAATGTCCTTTCCTCTTAGATCTCTGCAAGTTTCAGTTCTAAAGAGTCAACAAGCTGTGCGGCTCACTAACTTTGTCAGTCTCCAACTTCAATAAACTATACCAAGGTATTGAATATACCTGTTCCAGGCCCACTTTTCCACCTACCTCCCTCACCTTTTAGTTTTTCATAAGGAAGAAACAGCACTTGTCAAGCTTCACAGAACTGCTCTTCCACTCTCCAGCTGCAGAACCCTTGCCTCTCACCCCCTTCCAAGGCAGTACCGTAGTATCTCTCCTGCCGGGGGTTGTGCATCCCATAGGAGTGAAGTTGGTGTTTTCCAGCAGACCTTCCCCTCAAGAAGCCTTGTATAAAACATAGCCATCACCATCCACTGTGGTAGGAGCAGGCATCCATCATGTAACCTAACCATGGTGGATACCTGATCAGATAAAGCAGAGTCTCGTGTCATGGCAGTTGTGAAAGACCTGCAGAATTCCTGGTGGTGGATATTGTCAGCTCAACAAAGATCCTTCTTACGATACAATGCTCTGCTTCTCCACTGCTTTCAAGGGAAAGAATTGTTTCTGCTTTTCCTTATATTCCCTAAAATTTCTTGGCATGTTTGCTACAACAGGTTTTCAATTTAAGTGCCAATATAACAAAATGTCTGGAGGGAAATCAGCTGAAGTATTCAGAAGATGACTCTCGGTATGATTCACACCGCTGTGAGCAAAGAAGAGGTCTGTCTGGCCTTCTGTACTGCAGTGATAACAGATATTGGATGCAGTGTGTACTCAGATAAAGTTAATGGCAATGACATCTGGTAGATGACAGAGAGGAGCAAACTCCTGTGATCTGCTTTTTAACACTCCGTGCCCAAACCATTATATGTCAGACTTGGTAAAAGTGAATAACCTTTCAATATCTACCACTCCTCCCTCCCACGCTCTCAGCCAAACGAGACTGAAGGACTACGAGAGCTAGGACTGTGGAGCTAAAAGCAGCCAAGGAAAAAGGACTGAAGGTACACAGCTCATTAGTAGTGGCCTCCTCAATATTTAACAGCCACAGCACATTCCCAAAGCCCTCTCACAGTCATAACAAATGCTCATATAAAGGCTTGTACCTTCAAACTACTTCATCAACATAAATATATTAATAAGACCTTTCCCAGAAGAGAATGCAGTGTCAGAGAGATGCCATTCAAATGCCTAGGCTGTGAGAGATAGAGCTTAACATTATTTCATTAAACCTTCATCCTGTCTTCAATTTCAAGCCCATTTAGACAAAAGGACAGAATGTACAGTGGAGCTTTATGAGCAAAAAGAGTAACTGCTTGTAACATTATTTTGCCCCCTATGATTGAAATGTTAATTAAATTGTAATTCTGTGATGTGCATCAACTGAATTTGACATCTAACAATGAGATTTTTTAGATTCAGTTTGACTGATGCCACCTAGATAGTTCTTTTAAAGTGACTGGTGACAACTGCCACTGCTTTACTTTGGTATACATCTTGTATAAAACATTTAGGATACTTTGGCATCTTATTTAGAATTATAATTTGCACTAGGTTGCTGAGAACTGACAACTTGCCTAAGTGCTCTAAGGGCAAGAAAGGAAATTAAGAATGTAATTTTTCAAATATTGCAGATCTCATGCAGATGTGCTTTTCAAGGACAAATTCATTACACATTTATAACATGTGTAAGAGTCTACAAAAGATTTTTTATTAGCAATAGAATTACACTTGCTATAAATCTTCAGATAAAATCCAGTTGCTTAATTTGTTTTTCAGTAGGCCAGACCACCATATCATGTTCATGACCACTACCAAGAGGCAAACATGTGCACGCTGCTATGCATTTGGTATAGGTATAGGTAAATCATGTTAACCTTTGTATGCCCAGTGATTTGCTAATTCTAAAACCAGGGTATTTCTTGGTTGCAGTTGTATCTACCATGAATTCTGCAACACCTACTCTGTCAGATGATAATCCCTTTATGCAGATAGGATCTCTCCCATCCCTACTTATTATCAGACAGAATATAGTAGAATTTGCTTGGAATCTCTGCTGTGGAGCAGGGACAGGAGCATCAAAGATGGTAAGGGAATTGAATCAAATATGGAATGTGAATGACATTTAATTTGAACCACAATTTGCAAACTGCTGAAAGATGCACCTCTTTCGTTTCTTGGTAGAGATTTCTCTTCCAATTTGGGCTACACAATTATTTGAATCTTGCTCAACATACGTGTGAGAGAAGTAGAGGTTTCCTAACAGAGCAGCAATAAGTGAAGACTGTTGGGAATAACACTTGGCTAGGGAGTAAAGGGTTTTTGTAAGATCACTCTTAATTTGTGCAGTGAGCTAATGAGCTGCTGCAGACCAGCTACACACAGTATATAGAAAATTAAAAAGTCTCCAGATTAAAAAGTCTCCATATAACCCAGGTTAAAATATTTTTCTGTATTGATTGGATACCTTGTATGCTTGGGCATCAAGATGCAAAAATAAAACAGGAGATCTCCTGTAGCATGAAAAAATATTTAAGGAGTTAGTGTAAGCAGTGTTTTTAATGTTTTCACAGGATCATATGGCCCAGCTCCTTATAAAAAGAACAGCCATGCTTCAGTAGCAACTTCAAAAAGGTTCCATCAAAAACATATAAAAGCAACAATGGTTTTCCTGCAACATAGTACCTGAAGTTTGAAGAAAGGCGACAGCAACCTAGATTTCATCTCTACAGCAAACTATTCAAAGCTTTTGCAATACTTTTTAAAATATCCAAATACTTTCAGAATTATTTTGATTAGCTCCTTCTGTTTTAATGAATGGTATTTTCCAAGTCAGAATGCATTTACAGAATTAAGTTAATTACTGTTTAAGGCAATGTTTTAATCATATTGTATTAGCAGGGTATGAACTTTATGGAAAGCGACCAAGCAACTGAGTCAGGTCTTACTGTCAATGGTAGCTAGAAAACTTAAGAAGTAACTTTGTATGCCATAACGCAGATGAAACCCCACACTAATCTATGTGTTATCTGTAAGCTGCATATAGGGATATCACTCTTTATGTTCTGAAAGTTGTACTACAAAAGTAAAGGGTCAATTCCTTTTTCAACATGTTTGGCTTATTTCATGTGTTTTGAAACAGAAAAACATGAAACACTTTGAAATCACACGTAACAGTAATAAAAAAAACAGTTAGTTAATGAAATTTGGAAGGATTAATACATTCCAATTTCAAATTTGCAGTTTTCTGGTGTACTGAGCACTTAAAAGAACAGGGCTCTTGATCTACAAACTTCCTTTATCTCTTTTTTTCATTTTCATATTTAGCTCTAAAAGTGGCTCCATATAGCAAGGCCACTGATGTCATGTGCAGAAAGAGAGCCCTGMAAGTATTGCCTCTGTGCAACAATGCAATGCAGAACTCTACAGAGTCTCACTCTCACTCTGAGTCTCACTGTAGCAGTGGTTTTCAAATCAATCAAGAGCTGAAAAATGCCATCTGAAAATACAGTCTTTCAAAACAAACATTTAAAAAGAAAAGACTGAAATCTACCATTTTTGAAAATCTGAGAAGGCTGCATGGATCTGCACGTGCTGCTATTCTTGGCACTTCTAGACCAAATCAATATTCAGGTTACCATCACTTGTAATGTGTAAATCTTGAAGGCAAGATTTCATTCAGTGACTGTCCCTTTAGTTACAGAACCTAAGGTCTGAGTCCAAAGCAGTTTATTAGCTGAATTAGATGATGAGAAACTCAGACTCACGACTCCTTCTCCTCCCACCCGAGAATTAAAGCATGCCATGCACTCTGAGTGGGCAAGTACTGTCTGTCAATCAAAAGGAAAAATAATGTAAAAATGAGTACAAAATTGTCTTATAATAAGCAAAAAGTTGTATATATCAGTACGAACAATCTTATAGGATGCACAATCTGGTGATGAAATATTTCCAAAAAGTGTCTTGTGTACTTGTAGCACTACACATAATAAATAATGGATCCAAGGGATATTGATAATGAGAGGAAAATAAAAAAGGTGATAAATATTTGAGTAAGATGCCATTTTAAGGTTTTTGTGAAATTTGTAATTCTAATCAAAGGATATTATTGCACAGCAGTTCAATAAGGTATTTCAATGAAACCCTACCATCATCATCATGAACAGTAAGATGTCTTGAGATACAAACCCCGAGAACTACCAAGAAACCTAAATGTACACCATTTACAATGCAAATGCAAATTCTATGTACCCAAAATGCACCAATTCAACAAAAAGTCAAACTCATGAAAACATTTTTAATATGTTGCTTAAAGTGTCAAAAAGATTGATTGAATTAGCAGAGGAGAATGTTGCATTCAATGAGTATTGGAAAAGATGCTTATCAAAAATTTATCAGGCGAAGTAAGTCTGAGAAATGCTGATAACAGATGGGAGCTGTCTTGGCAAAAAAAAATGTAGCTTGTTTGTCTGTTTCTCTAGGTGAGGCTAGAAGTGTTCTGGGAGAAAAAACAAGTCTGATTTTTCTTACCTCTTCTTTCTCTGCGCTTTGCAAATCCCTCCACTCCTCAGTGACATGACCGAAGTCCACTGTGTTCATTGCAACTTTATATTCCCCAATGATATCATGTTTGGAGAAACGATCAAAGTCATAAACTGCCATCACTAAAGTTTTTCCACCCAGCTCAGAGTATGGCACCTGCAAACACAAGAAAATTACAAACTTCACATCTGAGACAATAAAGATTGGTCCACTATGATGCAAATCTATTTCTTTGGTTTATCAGCTGTCATCTCAGGTAAATTGAACTGCAGAGAAAATTATGAGGTGTATTTGTTTCAGAGTCACCAGATGCAGTATTTCTTGAGACAAGGCTCTGGCACTGGATGGAACAATGTGGCAGCTCACTCATCACTCCTGGGTTCTTCTCATTCTACTTCAAATCATTTTATGGGTGATGAAACTGAAACAAGAAGCCCAATTACTTGCACTGAAGACACATGAACTTTTCACACAATGGTGCCTTTTCCTCAATAAATCACCTGTCATCACTCAGAGATGGCTAGCTCCCAGACTGATGAAAAAAACAGAACTGGCTTACTATAAATGGCACAAAGTATTAGATACTGAATACTTCTCTTACAGTACCAATGCCTATTACTTACCAGGGCATATTTTTCATGGTAGACCACCTTTCACATGGTAGACACTAAGGTGCTTTCTAAGTCATAGGGTACAACTAGAAATTGTGATGGCAGAAAGCCAAGCTCTGACTAATTCTAATGAGTTGTGCTCATGTGGCCTAGACAGATGCTGTGGGTTAGGATGCTTATGAGTCACACTTTTAATATTCAGATGGAGACAGGCAGTTCAGGTAAGCTACACCTGAATAGTTATCTGAGGTCTGATTTAGGAATTGTTTGGATTTATATGAACACTTGGTCAATCTGAATATATTTTGCAAGTTCCAATGGTTTCCATGGGATTCAGTAAATATTTCTTTATTAATTACCTATATAAAAAGAGAAGTGAAAGCATGGCATTACCACTGGCCTTGTTAATCTCTATGCTCCTGTCTGTTTAAACCCTAGGACTGTTGTCTTTTGTTACGATTTGGCTTCCACTTGCTTATTAAAATACTTACTAATAAGTAGCAATTTTCCTTTTACATAACATTTTTCCTTCTTTATTATATATACATTTCCTTTTATATTATATATACATTTTTATTATTTTATATATACATTTTACATAACAATTTTCCTTTAATATAACATTTAAAATAAGCTTAACAAGTTGAGAGCCAGATCTAGCTTCCATTATCAACTTTCAGTGGTACATGGTTGTGCATTTTAGTAAATACTACAGCCAAATCCATTTTCTTCCTGTAAATTATCTGTAGCTTCTAAAATGCCACAAAGGGCAAATGTATGCAGAAGGAAAAATTCTGAATAATGCTAGTTTTATTTTGACACAGCCTCAAAAACAGGAGAAGAAAAGTGTTCTGAAGCCTATTTTGATTAGTTTACAATACCACTTAATGGATCCTGCTCATTTGGAATGTGTGCAAAGACAACATTCATCATTTACTTTTTTGTACTTGACCTCAGTAAAGCTCACTTTAACTACTTTCCTTTTTTAAATGTTAGCTTAAGTTATTACTTCCACAGTAGCCTCAGTCTCCAGCTTTGTTCTGGACTATCAAGGATGGCCTCAGCCCTCTTGAAGGGCTGCTCCCTCTCCCTGCTTTCCGCTCCGAGACAATCAGTCTCTTAAAGCAGGTGAGACCTTGGCAGAAGGACGTGTACAGGACTGTTTTTCTGGCACAGACGTATAACTCCTCTAGATATGAACCCTGCTCCCACTTTGGAACTGAGGAGGAACAGCTCCCTCTGCCAGGCTGGTGCAGTCAAGCTAGGATTTCTCAGTGTCCTTTGGCAGTGCAGTGTGGGTATATAATTCAGACAGCTGCAGTCTGACAAACACTTGCACCCTGGAACAGCACCACGGATGTCTGGGAAAAATGAATGCGAAAGACAAGGAATAACAGAACTCTTAGGCATAGAACTCTATAAGGAAGAAGGTTCAGGACAAGATGCAATACAGCAGAAAACGTAAGTCCACTCATTCCCATTAGCCATAGTTTGGAAAGAAGGGAGGCAGCTCCCAGCTGTGCCCGCTGAGAAGGCAATAGCCTGTGCTGGAGCTGCCTGGTGGGCAGCACTGCCAGAGAGGGGGTAAGGAGGCCAACAGATAATGTACAGCACCTGAAGTGGGTCACAGGTGCAAAGCTCCGCACAAGCAAATGAGATCCCTTCAACAGTTCCCACGGAAGCTGTTACAACAGTTGCAGTTCCAACTAAATGGTCACTGCAGTCCTCAGAACCATGACAGCACTTGGCACACTCCGCTGGTTTCCTCTCAAGTACAGACCACAGTTCACAGGGGATGGTCAGTACCATATTGAGATGCACCTAAACACTCTGTTAGGTCTGGCATGGAAAATAAACTATTTTCTGGAGCATAAAATTTAAATATTAAAGATGTGAATTACAACAAGTGGACATTATAGTCCAGAAATGGCTGATCTGATTTATAACTTGTGTCTTCATGTTAGGTGACAGCATTATTGGTTCTTTCTTTGCTTCTGTGAGCTGCATGGGAATATGTAATTTAGAACTCTGTTTTCTTTTAAATACTCTCTTAGGAAAGCTCGAGAAAGAAATAACTCTCCACAAAAGATTGCTTTTATGAACATCTTCAAGGAAAAAATAAGCTTATATATGCAGTAGTAGTTCTGGCCTACAGGGATATCTTTCTCATTGAATGATTTCATAGCCTGAATCTTTCGCTGTTCCTGTTTTCAGTCTGTAGCTGTCATTATAAGATTGGGCACAGAGAGAAAGGCCTAAAGTAACAGCAGAGGAATGCATATTGGGAGAAGGCCTGTGAAATATGCTGTACAGTGTTCCTTTATTCTATTTAACTGGGATTCAAATTCAGCTACAGTTTTAGAAAAGCACTATTAATAGATGCTATTGGAACAATGTAAATACTGCAATGTAAGGCTTACCTACGTTTCTTTATTTCGTTATTTATTAAACCGGAGGCAGGATTTCTTTTCATACATAAAGTAGAATGGCAAAGAAATGCTATGACGAAGTCTAGCAAGATTAATCTGCCATATTGTCCTTCACCCATTTAATTCCCTTGAGTTTTAATTTATATTTGAGGAAAAGAAATGTTATCCTGAATTTCATAAATCAGATGACAAAAATATTCAAAGAAAACGTTAGTCTAGTGAAATTTGCATGACATTTGTCGAAGTGTCACTGTTTTCTGAATTTCCTGCACATTTTATCCAGCCATAAAATATGGATCAGATTGTCACCTATCTGGATAACCAAAGTGCCTAAAATCAAACTTTGCCTTTTAAACCTGTCTGATCCTATGCAATAGCAAGATTCAGTCTCACAGTTTTCTACAACACGAAAAATCATTTTGCTGCAGTTATCAATTATCTAAGATGTCTAAATTCATAGCCAAACATGATATACATAGTGGTTAAATTAAAAAGTATCAGTAATTATTAAAACACTACCTTGAATGTAAATTGCTCATTGAAAACTGGGTTAAGGGTCTTTCTGTGGACTTTTGTCTCATATTTCTTCTTCTTATCAGGCAGAAGGAAGACTTTCACATAGGGATCAGATGTACCACCCATATCTAACGCAGGCAGCTCAGCTGCTTGAATAATCCCAACCAGAAGCTGAAAAGAGAGAAAAACAGCAGAATGTAATTTCAAATAGATATTTATAAAAATACTGTAACAGAGGAATGCATATTCAGACTCTATTTCTGGTCTAGGAAAAACTATCCTTCCCCCGCTTTCCTACCACCCCCTCCCCCCGAAGGAAGGCAAATGAAGCAACACTATTGACTTTAGAAAACCAATTATGGCAGATGCAGACTGCACAAAGGCTGTTTTAAAGCAGAAAAGAGGTTTTCAAAGGGCAGCTGATTACAGCTAAATACAGACTTCATCCTTTTAAAAACTGCAATCAAATAACTTTCAATTGCTCTCTCCTCTTGTGCATTATCTTTCTATGCTGAGCACTAAGAATAGAAATCACATTATTAAACAATCAAGAATGTCTAATTTTGACAATAAAATTTGTATTCTAAACCCCTAGCATGTAACCTTGCCCCCAACCAAACACAAAAAGATGATAACATCAAATTCAAATCCTCAGGCAGAGCTTAATTGAAAACAAGTGAATCTTGCAGTCTTCCTTATATTTAAGTCCTCTTGCTATGTATATGAAGGGGCCCAGGTAGTATACGAAGGACAATATTTTCAAAAAACATCCCATGAAAATGAATGCCTGGTAACTAAATCCCAGTAACCATTTGTAATCTCATAGCAAAACAGAAAAATTAGATTTTTAGATCTCTTATACACTTTCAAAATAAGACTGAAGCACAGATGAAACTTGTAAATGCCTTGGCCATTTTTTATTTGTTGTTAAATGAAGGTTATGCTGTGTTATGTTATCTCATGCTAGGTCATGTAATGTCACGTAATCTAGACAACCCAGACTGTATTAGGCTCATCAGCATAAAGAGCTGAGAAAAAGAAAATACTTTTAATCTCTTTTCATAGATACAAAACTAAGATAAACAATGAAGTGATTCTTCAAGGTCATTCGGAAGATATTAAGAACTGGGAATGAAATCTAGAATATTTTCTTCTAAATCAGTGCTTCAATCACTATATATTTGCTTCTGTCATGGATGAATTGTTTAAAATTGGAAACAGGATTTCTAACAATTGGAATAAAGAACAATACAGTCAATCTGTGAAAGAAACTTCTGGCTTCTGAGAGATCCCTCTAAGCTGGACTTACTTTTACCAGTTTTCAATCCACAGTATAGCTTTCCCACCTATAGGACTCTTAAGTTCCATGAAACATTTTCCTTCTGCTGCAATAAACATTTCTCCTTTTGTGTCTCATTTTTCTCCCAGATGCATAACAGTTCATAAATAAAGGCTCATAAATACAGGTTCAAAAATACAGTTCATAATATGAACAGGCTCAGGATCTGCATTAAGTTTTTYAAAACAAAGAGTGAAAAACAAGTCTACGATTTTTAGTTAGCAGAGTGGGAAAGCAATTCAATTCACCTTTACAATTTCTCTTTCTAAAACTGTGGCACAATGCGCTGGAGAGTTCATTGGTCATCCTATATTCTTAACCCTATGCAATATACTAGCCAAATGTTGGGACCGTGGTTTCAAGTCACTGCACTACACTGACCCATCTGAATCCTCTCTCCTATTTTATCACCCATTCTCTGACAAATTCTAAGCTGCAACATAGTTTAGAGCAGCAAAACAAATCAGAAATCCACAACTCAAATAATTTATTATCTTAATTAAATACAATACAGGCTTACAGATTTGTGGATCTTCCATCCTATTTTCCTTTGTAAAATACAGTTCATAAAATCAACATTTCCTTAATAAAGTTCACACAGAAGATTTGTTTTCATAGTCTAAGGAAACTGAAATCCATTTGTCAGAACACATTTGCAGCTTTTCCTTTCCCCCTCTTAAAATCTTCTGCTTCTGTAGGGTCTACACTTCATCCTGATTTCATACCTATTTCAAGGGGGATCAGTGTGACTCATCACATGGCCAGGCAATCTGGTCTGGGAGTTGAGGAAAAGCTCCTTTAACCACAGTCTCTTGAAAGGCTTCAGAACTCTATTTAGCTCTTGCATTGAAAAACAAGCACCGGTAGTCAGGMAGTAGTTGAAAATACCGGCAAACACTATTATGCCAAGTCATAGCTGTGTATAAATGACTCCCTGCTAACAGAGAAATTTTTCCTAATTTCTCCTATTTTCTTTGTCTTGCAACAGGAGTACCACATTCCATAAAGAGCATCAAATAAAGAACATGCGTGTGGAACTAATCACAAGTACATGTGGAAGGCAGTTCAGATGATAAATAGGGATTGCATGGGATTTATGTTCAGTAGTCTCTTCTTTCCCTAAATAGGAAAGAATGATGTGATCTTGACTGAAAATGTCAAAAAATTAAAGTCAAGATATGTGTTCTCAAGTTTACTGAAAGATACACAGTAGAAGTGAATAACTCAGATGTGATGATATACCTTGGACAAAATTAAGCCAGTGAATTTTAATGAGAGGCTGTGAATTTGTTTAATTGACAAAACTGATCCCTGGAAAAGAGGGCAGTGAGGGGAATAAAAGATAAGCTAGTTCAGCAGGTGGCCATACTARCTGGTTGATTCTAGTTCTCCACCATAACACAGTATCTATTAATTCTGCAAACTCAGATAAGTATGCCAGTTTAGTCTCATCAGCTTCCGAGTAGACTACTGAAAGAGTATCAGTCCCTAAATTCTTGTCTAACTTCCCTGGCTTTTGGGGGTTTTTATTTGAACCTTTTTATTTGAACTTTTATTCCAAATCAGATTTTTAGGATATGTACTTTCATGGACAGCAACAGAACCTGATGCAGCTAAGTGCACTTAGTGAGATGAAGTGACGAGAGTCACTCCTGGCAATCCTACCAACCTTCTAAAAGACCCAGTGAATCAACTTACCTTTACCTCCCTCTGTTTTTCCTCCCATCTTGGTTTGCTTACATTTTAAATACTTGAAGGCTGAAGCTACATTTTAGTGTCTGCACGCAAACCTCAAATTATAATGTGCATTGACATAGCTTGGTGATTCTTTAAGTTATTCATAACCATTACACAAAACTGCATCTTCAGTTTTTGATTAAAGGTGTAATATGAACTCCAAGTGCATTCAATAGCAATGCAGTAGTACCTTGTAATGAATTTTCTGTCTTGTTTTCTTCCTTTACTCTGTGTAAGCAGTAAGGATTTCAGAAATATCTACTTTAACTAAATGTATCACGTCACTATCCACATGCACACACAGGTTGGTTGTTTCAAACCTGATTGTTCTGGAAATCGTAATCCAAAGAATATTGGATTTTCCCTAGCTTCTCAACTTCTTTGGGTTCTTCCTTCTCTTCCCCATCAGTCAGTCCAGTCTCAGCATCATCATCCTTAAGAGCCTGGAAAGAAGAAATGTAATATTCATAAATGAGGCAAACTGTTAAGTAGCAGTTTAAAATAGACACAGTCCTCAAATCTATTTTAAAGCCATTATAAGCAAGCATAACAGCAGAAATTCAAATATGCAGTTTTCATATATATCTGTACTTTTTGAGTTGCTCAAGAACATGTTATAAATCAGCAAGCAAGCAATGGAAGTAGGAAGAAAGCTCCTTGGACTACAACAAGCAAGGATTGTTCTAAAACCTGAAAGTAGAAACAAAGTATCATCTCGATGTATAAAAAAAAAAAAAAAAAAAAAAAAAANAAAAAAAAAAAAAAAAAGAAAAAAAAAAGTTCTTCTGGGCTCAGACTGGCTCTTAAAGAGGCACAAGGAGGCAAACATGCTATTAAATAAGCAAAGTCACGCATTCATTCCACTTAAGAGTCTTGGCAAAGTCAAACCTAGTTGTACATGCTGTGCATTGTTTGCATTTCGCAACACGTTTCTGTAGGACTACCGTGATAAAGAGCATGTGCTGTGGATGAGCTCTTCCTACAATCATATGCCAAACATTTTTCATGTTTTTTAGAATGAATATGGGAAGCAAAGTTTCCACCATGCCATTAGCAAATGCATGTTCCTCCTTTACCCTCCCTCCCGAGACCAATTTCCTTTTTATTCATTCTCGCAATAAAGCTTGGCTGAACCAAATTGATTGCAAGCTGATTTTAGTTTGCTTAGAAACACAAAAGTAAAGAAATAGAGAACTGCTTGTAGCTTTGCCTATTGCACAAAACCTGTTTTTCAAAGGACAAAGCAGTTATGTTAGATTTTATAGTATTAAAATTGTACATATTTAAAATACCACAGATGTAACTTTTTTCTTTTTTTKCTGTAACAGAAAGCAGAAGTATTTTCATTGCATAAAAGTTACTCCATAAAATTGTTAAACCATACGAACCATAGTTCACTGTGTAGATCTTATTCCAACAGATTCTTACCTAGGTAAGAAGTGAAAAATAGACAAAAGTGCTGGGACAAACAGTGAAAAATTGTGGAAAATGTGAAAATAACGTTGGGAGTGTGAAAAAAAAAAGAATCAATACTGAGCATTCATCCAAAACTGTTATTTGCATGTCATAGCAAACAGTATACTTGTCTGTAAGAGCCCTATTTGGATGAAGGTTCTTTCTATATGGAGCTTCTGCTTGCAGACAAAGTGCCAGAACAAGATTTATTCTTTCTTTTTCATAATTTGATTTAGTCTGAGGAAACCTGCAGCATTTCTTAACAATAGGTTGTGGCTGTAGCTCTCTATCTGAAGAGGTAGCAGGGCTGGAAAGTCACTACATACACAGCTGATTGTGGCTGGGGAAAGAAGAAACATGAAAGCATTAACATTCTCACTCAGCCCTGAACAGTGAGGGCCACACAACAGTTGTGTGGGTTTGGAAAGAAGAAAGACTCATCTCTGAAGTAGAAAATGTTCTTCTCCAGAAGCCAGATCTAAATTCAAAAGGGCAGATTCAAAATTGTATGATATTAGGCAATTATTCCTGTACTTTTTGAAATAAGCTAGAAAATATGCTGGCATTGCTCAGCTGAGATCAATGCAACAACATTGATTTATGTGAGCTGAGGAACTGGGTCTCTGAAATAAATATCTGAATGCTAGTGAATGATGGAGAAACGTAAATTACAGTGTACCTGAAWGAGATTGGTGGTAGTGGACAGAATCATCTGTGAGTCTGGAAGAGTAGTACTTTTTGAACTAAATAATTTCTATTTGGAAGGGCTGAATGCCTGAAATGAAATTTGTTTTGAGACATTCTAATCACTGAGCTCTTAGTAAGCTCCCCAACTGTAGCACAACATTTTTGTTCGTAGAAGAAGTGGGAATCTTGAAACTTACAGGCTCTCTGGCAGACCATAAATGGGATTTTCAGGATACGGAGTGGTGTGATTATACCAAGCACTCTTGCTTTTGGTAATAGAAGAAAACTTAAGTTTTATTTCATAAAAGAAGATGTGACTCAATGCAACTAAGGCAACCTGTTTATCTGAGCCTGGAGACAACAGGAAACACTAAGTCAGAGTGTGATGTTAACTCCAAGATCCAGCGCTGTGGATCATCCCAGTATGGTCCTAAAAGAGGGTTCCATGACAAAAGAGCAATATACAGCTCCACTGTATGATTGTTTCTGGGACAAGCACTAGGCTTTCTGCTGCTCCATCTACTTTTCACCTGAATTTTGTTTGAGAGGAAATATCGTATGGCCATTCTTCAGGGATTAAAGGGACAATGCAAAAAGAACCTTACATGTTGATTTCTAAGTAAGAGGAATTTGTAAACAGTCCATCCAGGCAATAGTTACATAGCCATTCTTTCTCTGGGAAAACTTCATACTCTTCTGCAAAGCTGATCAGTCCAGACGACAGAGCAGCAGGTAACTCCATGTGAAAAAAGTTCTTACTGTGACTACAGAATATATAATGGGAAGCTAACATCCCTCATGCAAGGCAGTTTTGAAGTGCAGGCAGAAAACACTGTATGGTTAAGAAACTCTTCTCCACAGGTTATAAGAAGCCTACTAGAAGGTGAAAGCTATTTCCATGAGAGACAGAAAACACTGTACATTACTGGCATCAGCTGAAGAGCTACATGATTCCTCCTGACCTTGACTCAGCAACATTCAACACTGAAAAGAAAACACTAAGAAAGAAATAGTGTTTGGATATGGACAAGCTTGTGGCATTGGGGGGACAGAAAAACATGACAAATTATTAACTCTACAGCAGTCTGTAAATAATAGTTTTTACTGTCAAGAGAGGAATATGCTTTCAAACTGGAGGCTAGTGCTTCAGGAAGAAGCTGAGTCTAAAGAAGCACCAAAGTTTCTCATGTTTGATTTAGCTGCTGAGTTCCAAAGAGGAAGAATAATTGGGTTGCTTCAAAGTACTTGAAACACCCCACAGGGATTTTAATTTTGTATTGAGATTCTCTGAAAGACCAATACTTAATATTGGTCTTTCTTATTGTAGGAATACTACTACAACCCTCAATTTATAGCATACTGTATCACACTGTATTGCTGTATTGCTAGAATCAATTAAAATAAGCAGCCATGTATTTTTTAGAAACCATATTTTTAATTATAAGCAAGCTTTTTCCTCAAGCCTCTTCAACTGATAAATCCAGAAAGACTGTATTTACATGCAGAGGAATGCAAGCCTTGCCTTCTCTTAAAATTTTCTTTCACTTCATGACATTTTAAATGCTTTTTCTGTGAAATATGCAACATGGAAATGCGTAATTGCATTGTGCTGGAGACTGGATTTATCATTTCTAATTTGGGATGGCCATGAATTTTACTCAGTTTCTTTATTTCTGTGCAACATATGCAGAAACACACAACAGTGAAACATCAATATCCACTCAAATCTGTCTAAGTATCTGAAAAATGTAGGCTTATATACAAGCAGGTGTAGGGATGTACCCAAACAGTGTTAATCCAGTACAATCATTACATCTGCATTGAAAATGCATCTGAAATCAGAACCACTACTCTACAGAGGTTGTTACAATAAAAAGGGCTCTTTTCTTCTGAGTTGTTAAAGAAAATGCTAATTTTCAGTATTTTTGAAGCTCCACAGCCTGTAGTGGGTTTTCACATTTTCTGTTTTTTTTCTCCCTCTCATTCCCCTGGCTGCTAAAAGCCTCTCTCCTGCAACACTGTGTTGTGACACTCTTAACATCCCTTGCTTCCAGCTCAGTTCCACCACTCAATTCCTGAACGTTGTCACCAGATTTACCTGATTACTRTCCACCACAAACCACAAAAGAGATTCTGGGGCTTAAAACAATTTTACTTTCATCTGTCCCCAAACTAAAAGTAGAAAATGAGAGGGTGTGCAAGGACAGTTCCTCTGCTGGCTGACCCCAGATTCCATGTGGTGTGCAGAAGCTTCAGGAAAGCCAAGTGGTAGGAGACTCATGTAACAAAGTGGCTGGGGGAGCAAGCCTTCTTGCTTTGCCTCCTGTTACAGAGAAGAAGAGGCCACAATCATGTCTGAGTCATGTCTTGCTAATGACTAGCTCATGTCACAAACCATTTAAAATGCAAAGAATCTTTCACTGTTGTATGTAAAAAGATGCTTTCATTAACAGAATTTTTAGGGTTCCTTCTACTCGTGGGGTGGCCTACAGCCTCATTTTTAAGGAAACAAGTTACCAGTCAGCAAGGAGAGACATTGGAAGCAAACCAAAACACTGACTGCAGCCTGTAAGTTTGTCTGCTGCATGGTGCATACTGCTGTTTTGATCTCCATCTCCACCTGCCCCTCCATCATTCTTTTTGGAATCATGAAGGAAATATTATTTTAACATTTGAATGATGCTCAGTTGTCAGGCTTGTGCAATGCCTGGTGAGCTGAAAGGATGAAAACAATAAGATTTTGTAGCAAGAATGTTCTGTGCCATGTCCAACAATGAATTTATTGGAAAGGCAATTTTTCCTTCACAACTAGAAATGACTGCTTTTCCACTAATGGTGGTGCAACTCTTATCAATTTCTTTCACATTCAAGAACACCATAATTCTAATCTGGCCAATTTTTATCCCAAGGGAAAAGAAATGCCTTTAAAAATTCCTGTCTGGTTCCCTATCACAAAGCAGACAAGCCTGCAATTGTAACATGTTCTCTATCAGAGTCCCTCAGAAGGAAAGGCAGCATTTCATTCATTCAGCATCTGCTTTCTCTCCATGAATTAATTTAAAGAGCATGTTGCGCCTGGGTTTCCAGTGGCTGCGCCAGGCTTTGGTGATTGTGAAATCTACTTTGCCATTACTGCTGTAAGAATGTTGGCCTCACACACCAGCAGCAGGCCACACTGATGAACACAATGAGAGAAGCCCTGCTAGGTTCAGCATGCACTGCTTTGACATTACTTCCTTGCTTGTTATCCAGTTTTTAAATGGTCTTGGTCGGGTTATTCAAAAGGCTTGCTTTCTTTAGG